TTTTTTTACCACGTGGCAGTGATAATTTTAAGAAAAACGCTGTTCATCCTTATTTCAGAATATCTGAAGAATATTTACTAATTTTTCGGACCCGAAATGATAAGTATGACAGCCGTTTTAATTTTCTGGTGTGCATGACACCTCATGTGATCATATAAAATTTTTATGCAAGGTGAAGATTAACAAAGTTCGTAAATGTTAATTTATTAAATTTTAATTTAAATAATTCCGCGTCCGAACACAATTCAACGAGCGATTCGCAAAGCTAATTTAATAAATAATAATCGTGTTAAAGGACGTAAGAGATTTGTTTGATAGAGAAATATGAAGAATATTATCAATAAGAAACTCACCCATTTAGTTGTTAATCCACTACATGGTCGGAAATGTGTGCTGGAGGATAGTGCATCGATGATGTATGATGAACTGCACAGCTGATCCGTATCCGACGGCGACGAACAGAAGGATGTTTCCAGGCAGGCTATTCCAACGGTCACTTATGCTACATTATCACTAAACACTGATCACATATCAATAATATCTGCGGACGAACTTACCTGGGTTAATATGTATGGCCCTGAGAAGAGCCAATTTTTTAATGCTGCGAACTGCAGCAGATTGGCACGATGGCCAACAATGTTTCGTTTTTCTACGAGCGAGTTTCAACTGTTTCCTATCGGACGTGAACATTGTCGGCCATTCTGCAGTTCGTCCCGAGCATTAATATGAAAAGGATGTCGCGAGAGAATTTTCTTAATTATTCTTGTACGGTGCGATCAACTTGTTTACTCCAAGGATGCTGCGTCGCATTAAAAAATCGGCTCTTTTCGGGGCTATACATATTAATCCAGGAAAGTTCGTCCGCAGATATTATTGATATGTGATCAGTGTTTAGTGATAATGTAGCATAAGTGACCGTTGGAATAGCCTGCCTGGAAACATCCTTCTGTTCGTCGCCGTCGGATACGGATCAGCTGTGCAGTTCATCATACATCATCCATGCACTATCCTCCAGCACACATTTCCGACCATGTAGTGGATTAACAACTAAATGGGTGAGTTTCTTATTGATAATATTCTTCATATTTCTCTATCAAACAAATCTCTTACGCCCTTTAACACGATTATTATTTATTAAATTAGCTTTGCGAATCGCTCGTTGAATTGTGTTCGGACGCGGAATTATTTAAATTAAAATTTAATAAATTAACATTTACGAACTTTGTTAATCTTCACCTTGCATAAAAATTTTATATGATCGCATGAGGTGTCATGCACACCAGAAAATTAAAACGGCTGTCATACTTATTATTTCGGGTCCGAAAAATTAGTAAATATTCTTCAGACATTCTGAAATAAGGATGAACAGCGTTTTTCTTAAAATTATCACTGCCACATGGTAAAAAAAATATCGAAAGTTCATGCTCCGTGACTTGTTCATTGATTTGAACATGGCACCAGAGTCCCCCTTCAGCTGTCAAAATCAGTGGTAGGAGCACATGGCACTCGATTGATTGACCATGTTGTGTTTCGCGCCATTGTGTCTCATTGATCGGTGTTTTTCATTAATAACTCGTAAACAAAGCTGTAGATTGCATTTTCGCAAAGGGAAAAGTTACTTAGAATGATCTCAGCTA